CCCCTCAATTGATTTTTTGTGGAAAAAGCTGTATAGTTAGTTACCTTTGAGAAAAACCTCCAAAGTGACAATAAAGTTAAATTATCACCTTTCTTAAACATATTTTACAACAACTTTCAAATCTTTGTTATAGTATAGGAGATAAAGATGCCAAATTATACTCAAAAAGCACAAATATAAACCATGATGTTAAAGGAATCGTCTATGAAATTAGGCACAGCAGTTGCATTCATTTAGAACAGACACACTGGTGTAATGAATTGAAAATGATTTGTATAAATGGATCCTGTTCTTGTCCCCAATTCAGAATTGTTCACACAATTGTTATCGACTTAAATCCAGATTATATTTAACACCAAGAAATTCCAACAATGTCTTACATTTTTGTAAAAGAACTGGACAGGACATACTGTATTACATTACATGTTAGACGCTTTTATCCAAAGCAACTTACTCAATACTGTGGGCAATCCCCACAGGAGCAATTTGGGGGTCTCAGACACAACGACATGCTGACTGCAGTGGGGTTTGAACTTGTGACCCCCTGATCCGAACACCTACGGACAACCCACTGCGCCACACGCCCCCCGTATTTACCTCATATACTGGCATCCTATTCACTTTCTCAATATCCATCTTAGTACGATAACCATTTCATCTACAAGGACAACATTTGGTTGACAGATTTTTCCTCAGCTTTTTTTGTCTGAAGAGGTTGACTTCTAAGAATCAGGTGCCGCTTCAAATAATGGATTTGTCCATTCATGGCAGCTCTGGGTGATTCAAATCAAATCAAGTTTTATTTATATAGCACATTTATAAACGATTTTTGGTCGAGCCAAAGTGCTGTACATATAATAAAAATAGCCTACAGTAGAGACACTTTACAGCAAATACAACAGCACAGATTGTTCAGAATATCAGTATGAGAAAAACGACACCCTCTGTCCTTAGACCCTCTGTCCTTAGACCCTCTGTCCTTAGACCCTCTGTCCTTAGACCCTCACATCGTACAAGGAAACACTTCCAGAGAAAACCCACAGTTTAAAGGGAACATGGGAGAAACCTCAGGGAGAGCAACAGAGGAGGGATCCCTCTCCCAGGACGGACAGACGTGCAATAGATGCCGTGTGTAAATCGAAGAGATAATACATTTTACAGCATATAGACCGAATGTTAGGAAATGCATGTGTCTGTAATAAGAAGATGAATCCACGAGGATGTCAGCTACAATCCTGTGGAAGCCATCAGGGAAGCAGCATGACGAGACCCAAGGCAGGACCACAGAGACAGGTTCAGCCACGACAATTCACATTGGCTTGACAGTTTGTGTCTCTGTGACGCCGTGAAAACCAATACGCCTTAACTTTCCATCTGAGGTCTGGCGGTGGCACCTTGTGTTGGCTGAAAGGCTTCATGTTACCAAAGTCAGAGTCCGGTCATGAAGAATTCAACAGGTGAGCCGCCATCTGTGACCGGCTCTGTGTTTACAGTCCAAAATCAAAACAACAGCACAGAACGCAGACACCAGGTACCTAACAGCATGTGTAAATGAATCCATTGTTTAATTCTTGTTTTAAGAATTTATATATTAATAAGTGAATGAAACTTCAGCCAACCTTCGAAACAGCCATTGATAATTAATGACCAAAATCGATCCATCCTTTAGTTTATGCCAGATTTGGTTGCAATGTAATTTTGTTATTTAATATAATATAATAACAGTGTTGTAAATCTGTCAATAAAGTAAATATTCAAGACTTGTTTTTGTATAATAAAGATTCATATGCATTTATATTCACTGCATTTCATGTTTAATCAGTAATATGCTTCATAGATGGATAGATATGTTTACTCTCAGTTGGGTGGTTCACTGCTGCTACGTGAACATTGAGTCTGATCCCTTTTATCGAGTTCAGTTGACGCCAGATGACCTCAAGGGATGGGAGGTTAGTTCCCACACATGGCCGACATGCAGCCCACCACACAGTCTGTCTCGTGAGCAGAGTCATCTTTTCATCATACTCCATAAAGACAGTGACATCATGGATTCCCTGAAAAACAAGCTGATTCCTACATACTGTCATCTATACAAATATACACACAGTATTCAAACACACACCATCGTCATACTCAGTACCAGGAATATTCCTTCGGTAATGCATGATTGTCGATGTATGATAATGGATCTTATCAACTCTGTCCCTTTGAAAACTTAAAGACACTATTTAGGTTACTGATTAAAAACTGTAGCCACAAAGACTGAAATTAGCCATATAGATGAAAAAGGGATTTGTTTTTGGAGTTCTTTCTTATCCGAAGCCAAGGTTTAAAACCGACAGACAGATGCTACAGTACATGCAGTAGAGATTGTAAAGGCCCCTTCAGGTACATTTGTGGCGTCCGATATTGGGCTACATAAATAAAGGTGGCTTTCTCAAATTAGCTCAACAAGAAGTTTCAGTATCCTCAAATGTCCCCTAATTTGGAAGCTTTAAATAATTTCCTCCAGCTCTCAAAGTTTACTGCTTGCAGATTAGACTGAGAGAGTTTAGTTTCAGAAATGAATGATTGGATTAAGATCATCAAAACATTAAAGGTTTTATAGTCATCATCATTCATTGAGTCCCTGGTGAATAATAAGAGTTACTGAATGACTGCAACCGAGGCTTATGTTCCATAATTAAGATGTCAACTTTGTCTGACCCTGAAGCCACTCTCCTGTAGAGATATTCCTAATGTTTTTAATTACTTTGAGTAACTACTATTTTTTTAGCCGAGGCCACATGCTCTTCTCAGCTGCTTCTTTATGACGTGACAACATCGCTGACCAGAACAAACCGAATCATTAACAATCACCAGAATACATGATGCCATACAGTAAATCCACTGCTTCTAGTTTCTGTGTGACTTGTTCAACAGAGAAGGTGAGATGTTGGATGGTAAACCAGCAGTACAGACACTTAGCCCCAAAACAACTTTCTCTTTCATTTCCCATTTCTCTGAAACTTGGTTGTTGCTTTCAATAAAATATGTATTTTTAATTGTTCTCATAGACTTCTATACACTCAGTGAAGCGGCCCCCTGCAAATGCTCAAAAATACACTTTAAACGAGGCCAAAGAGAAAAAAGAAGAACAATATTTAACACATGTTCTAGTGATCAACAATAATCTCACTAAGAACAGATGGTGATTATTCGATAATAAAAAACCTCTCTTGGTTTTTTTTAATGGGTGGTGACATTAATAATTTGTAAGTAAACTACAGTGTCATCAGCCAAACAAGATGTGCACTACTCTCATGGTTTCTGTGCTGCTAATGAGATGGAGGCTATTCGCATCAATCAATACGACCGTTACTTAGGCTGAGCTCCTGCAGAGAGGGAAAAGTGCAGCAAGGCACATTTGGTACACAAAGAAAGGACGATGGGCTGCGTTCATGACAGGAGAGCAGAGAGATATTCGACACATTGCCTGAAATACTCTTCATCCTTCAGGGGGGTTCTGATAAAGGCTCTGAACTGGAAGTAAGAGGATTTGTGTGAGCATCAGATACACACTCCCACACACACATTTTGGCCTGCCAACGAGCGCCTGACAACTCCTGAGAGATTTCTGTGATGATTTCCTCAGTGCACCTGGAACACTGTGGGTGGATCTCACACCAGACTGTGGGGCAACTCAGGACAAAGAGGGGGTTCAGTTTGTTCGTTACACTTTCGAGAAATCCATCTCTTAATTTTGTCAAAAATCCAGAAATCACAAATAGGCAACTTTTTCCAGGTAATGCCACCTTAAGTGTGATTCATCGTACACAGTGTCCATCGAGTGCATTTTGTCAAGTAGGGACTTGTGTTGTGTAAATATGGCACAAACATACTTTAGAAAATCCCCCCTGTATCCCTTAAAATGTATGCATTTTTTGAAGTTGGGGAGATTTGGTTTTATTCTTGTTTCTTGTTACTTACATTACTACGGTGGCTGACAGGTGCAAACACACTGGAGCCATTAGGAGAAACACAATGCCGTTTCAAAAAGTGATGCAAAGAAAAACACATTGGCCATTCTTTAACTGTCTTTTTCATCTACTAATATACATATATACAATTGGAAAGCTTAGTCTGTGACCAAACTTAATCAAATTACCCCTATGTTGGGGGCAAATACATGCTAGGCTACTGTTTCCTTCTGTTGTTATTTGTTACATCTGTTCATAAATAAATATGAGGCCTATTCAACAATTTAGTTAAGTGGTGACAATTCTTCTTGTTTTATGTATGTTATTTAGTAGCACCATGTGTTATTATTATGTGTATGTTGTATTTTCCAGAGGACAAAACGTTTAAACTGTATGATCGTGGCATTTTATCGCACAATACGATTCTTGAATAAATTATGATATTAGTATTCATTAAAATAAACTCACTAGTAAAGAAAAGTATCCCTATATATTAGAAATAAAGTCCTATGTGTAAACATAATTGTATTTCTCTGTTATAGAAAAAAAGACTTCTCTCTTGTCTGGGCTATATGGTGATTTAGCCTCACGGGGTGCACGCGCAGTACTTCGACCTTGACCAAATAAACCCTCTTGTTGTACGGGTTTAAATCCTAAATACATTACGTGAACCTATACGAAAATTCCATACACAAATAAATTAGTATTGTGTCCAAGTGTATAAATATCCATCGAGGGAAATTAGCGTTTATAAACAGAGGCACATTGCATTCATCCATGAGCCAGCCCCTTTCCGAGTAGTAGTGGACCGTACCAAGTGAACAACAGGGGTGTGCGAGAAAAGAAAAACTCTAATTCTACGTTAAATCTTAGATATTCTATAAAGAATAATACATAACAACATAAACACCGATTAAAAAGCATATACGTTGAGATTTTTGTGTATGAAGATTGGGAAATCATTTTTAATAGGTGTTTTAAATTAGGACACCCCTCCATGCAGATGCCATGCGTCTGTCTGAGAGCTACAGAAGCGTCTGCTCCGGAGACAGAGGCAGCACATCGGCCTGACTGGTTTACATAGAAGTAAGTGATAATGCCTCCTCCGTGCATGTGCTCTCACAATTTCATTCCTTGAGACTCGTCAATTCAGAAAAGGACGACTGATATTCTACACTGGTGAGTAAAAACAGCAGCATCCTTAATTGGGCTTGATTATGATAAAGGCATGGCTTGATGTTTGTGTCTGTGTGCGGTCTGTGTGCGCGGTGTGCGTGCGCGTGTGCGAGGCTGGCCAGGGTGCCAGTGCGCAGGATGTGGCGCTACTGAATGATGAAACACTTCATAAGGGTGTCATGAGGACTGGGCGGGTTGGAGGAAATTAATTTATTCAAAAAACCCTTAATGGACAAATTGTGCCAGGGTATAACAACGAGCCGCATGGCACCAGTGTGACTTGTTTGGTGTTTTTCTATTATTATGATTCACTACTTCCTTTCTCCATCCGAATTTTTCTCATTGTGTGCATCCCTTACTGAAGGCCCGTTTATTGACAGGGCGAAAAAAAGAAGCATGTTGTGCGTTAATTAATCATCCTTAGATGAACCCAACCACATCCGTATGTTGACATTTACAAATGTGCGTTGGTGTATTCTACCACATCCTCCTATAATAAAGGTTACTCAGCATCTGCGCTCCTTTACGCTGTGTTGCGTGCACTGGCTTGTGAAATGGCCTTATAGCCTCATACAAACCAAGCTAATCTGGAAGCGTTAAAGGAAATCTATTAATCACTTAATCCTATGCCTGTTGAAAGAATGTGGGGGGGTTTGCATGTTGTATCGATGCAAGATGGTTTGCAATAATTCTGGGATATTTCGCCTCGGTGATGAATTTTTACGCAAAAATAAAATGCGTTAGCCTATATTGCAAAACACTACGCCTTATGATGCTAACATTTAAAAAGGTGCACCTTAACCTGCATTTAGGTGCACCCTTTAATGTTTCCCAAGCTATTTATTGTGAAAATCATAGCGGTGTGCTGTTAAATCTGATAAATGATGATAACCCCAGCTCCATGTTTCCTCCACCCTTTTTTTTGTTCAGCAACCCTCTGCTCATGCACATGTCTGCTCACATTCCCATTTGTGTTTTGAAACGTGATACCCTTTCATATTTGAAGGGCTTTCCCCATGCCATCAAAACAGTGTTTGGGTCCGTATGCAAATCGGCCACTCCCTTCAATTATTCAGGTGGTTGGAAACGTGATCGTGCCGGACCGACCTGTCACCGTCCCGTCCACATAGTGTTCCCTGCCGCGTTTTGTTTGTGTTGTAGAACAATGGCCTGTGATAAAAAAATGTACCCATTCATTGCTGCCCCAGCCAGCCATGTGATCTCCATGTGAGAAATAACTCTGCTCCCGATAAAGCAATCATTTTCTGCATTGAATTTTCCCCCCATGATGATAAGATAGTGTGGGATAAGTAGGCCTACAGAGTGTAACATGACGAAAGATTTTCTATAAAAATACACAAAAGTATGATTGAAATGGGACTGAAACACTCTACTGTGTGGGCTGTTTAGTTAAATTACTGTATTTTTCATTTATTTGGTTTATTTAATATAAGTAGTGTGTTTTAATTTGACATTTTTTATCTTAAAACAAGTTTTACATGAAGTCTATTGTCGTCTTTTAGCAGGTGTTGGTTATACAAAGGTAGTTCAGGGTAAAACCAGTCAGACTGATATTTAAAGTAAATACACCAAACTCAAACTCAAATGCTGGCACTCTTAGCAGCGAATCATCAAATGTGTTTTCTCAGTGACAAAGCACTGACTCAACTATGGGCTGTTTACTAACTGCGATTTCTCCTCCTCTCCTCGCAGACATCTGGTGATAATGACGAAATAAACCATCTTCTCATCACTCAACTTCCACAAACTGTCAAAAACAAACAAACAACTTTTGCATTGTCAAAAAGTGACTTCTTCCCCAGACGCCTGCCCAGCCTGAAACTCAAAAGACGTTCCACCCCTCGCCCCTTGTTTGCTTTATCAAATGCCCAAAAACAGCAAGGGCGTCAAGAGAGCGCTTGACGACGATGTCACAGAGTCCGTCAAAGACCTGCTTTCCAACGAGGACGGCCGTGACGATACCTTCAAGAAGACCTCGCTGATCATCAACAACCATGAGGGGGAAGGGAAGGAGTGCGACGTGGAGGAAGGGGGGGTCGGACGGAGACGAGGAGGAGGAGCGCCCGGCCTGGAACAGCAAGCTGCAGTACATCCTGGCCCAGGTGGGCTTCTCCGTAGGCCTGGGCAACGTCTGGAGGTTCCCCTACCTGTGCCAGAAGAACGGAGGGGGTGAGTCACCTGCATTAAGAGCATGGTAGATGTTGTAAATCAAGCAACAGAAAGTAACGGTGTCAATTCGCAGTGTCTGCATGTGTTGTGTTTACGTTGTTGATGGATGAGACCCGAGCCAGCATACAGTCGAGGCGATCTCCGTTTATTTACTGACAATATACAACAAATTAGTGTTAAATTAGTTATCCCTCACACTGACTCCTCTCATGTTCACAAAAGGGGCAAGAGAAAACGTGAGGGACACAATATGAAGGGGGGGGGGAAGTCCCCACAAAAATAATCTTCTGGGTACAGTGACTACATTCTGGAGGTTCCGCCCACTGATTCTAGACCTAGCCAGGTATTGAACGTTCAAAACACAGAATTATTAAATACAAAACACAGAATTTGTGTGATTATACTAAATGATTTACAATAAATATTTAACACTAAACACCACTGCATATTTACTGTTACAAAGACACCAATAATATTAGTGATGACTCATTGAACAGTACATCTGGGCCTGCAAAACGATGGCAAAAAGTAACTTAACCCTCCTATTGTCTTCGTTTCCCCCCTTACTTTGGTGTTCGCGGTCAAATTTGACCGGTCCTGTTTTAACTGCTATTACATTAACACAAAAACCATTAATCATCACCAAATTTCATTTAACACCCTTTCAAACTGTACATATTTTATCAGACTACTGGCATACATGAAACACTGCAGTAAATATACAAAGAACAGACACTGAACATGTATTGCGTGGGCCAGGTGTGATCCATGTGGGGGGATGGGCACATAAGAGCGGGACATGTGTCAAATTGTTTTGTGTGTGTGTGTGTGTGTGTGTGTGTGTTTGTGTTTGTGTGTGCCAGGTGTGATTCACATGCAGGGATTGAGCACATAAGGGGGGGACACATCTAGAGTATGTGTGTGTGTGTGTGTGTGTGTGTGTGTGTGTGTGTGTGTGTGTGTGTGTGTGTGTGTGTGTGTGTGTGTGTGTGTGTGTGTGTGTGTTTTATCTGATCCGGATGGTTACTAATTCCTTTTCTTCATGGCGGTCATTTTTTACCTGGAACACCATGGGTGTTACAAAGTTGACTAAATCATCCAACATTCAATGAAAGTGGTGATCAGCAATTGTATATGTTTAAATGTCTACTGTGAAGGATATCATAGAGCCTTAATGCAATCGAATGTAAAACTAAAAAGTTATGATTGATGAAAGTAGTAAATCGGTCAGATTTGACCCGAAGACAACAGGAGGGTTTTAAAGGACCATTTTGGTTATTGAAACGTGGTTCTTATTTTTTACATTTATATCATTTAACTAACCAAAGTACTACAGTAGCTTCAATCTGGAAATGTAAAATATTGAACGTGTTATTATTACTTTGCATAAGCTTGCGTTTCAACTGTGTGACAAACTAAAGCATTAAGATAAGGTTGTAAATAAGTCAAAAGTCACACAAAAGTAAAAAGTAAAGCTGCCAGCACTAAACGTTTATTAGCAATGAGAAATAACGGGCCAAACTTTAAGTAGACTTTATTAGCGTAGACAACTGTCAAACTATGCAATAACATGTCATAATTTGACAGACATTCAAATTAAAACAGGTGTTAAAAACTACAGAGGGACCATCATTGGTGGGAGCTAGAATGAATTACATGCATAAGGTGCAAAGAAGACTAAGCATTAGTTTTAGTTTCTGCAAATATATAAATTCAAGTGTGGGAAAATCTGTGTTGTATTTGATACTAGAGGACGAAAAAGAGGAGAAAATACATTCTGGGGGATTCCCTTCTATGGCCTTTCTGCAATACCCTTTTTATCTAATCAAACAACAATGAAAGTTCCTGGAACTAGATTTCTTTACAATCAGATACCAGAAGTATAGCCTTCCTCTTTTTTTGTACAGTATGTGGGTCCACATTGCATGCAGCACTTGTTATGTCACTATGTTTATACTATGAGGGCACAGTCCTTCAACACTTCAACATCTTAGCAATGTGAAAGTAGATGTCTAAAACAATGTTAAGAATTATAATTAAAAGGGAAGATTAGCCAATGTCCTCTAAAAACTCTAAATGTATCATCAGATTAGACACTAAAAAGACTCTTTCTGGTTAATCCTCAATGGATCATTAGAATTGAAACGCTCCAAACAAATGCAGGTATTATAACAGATGCAATGTGTAGGATTTTAAGTGTGTGTAAGGAAGATGGAGAAACACAGTCCTTCCTATGTTGTACTCGTGTGTCAAAACCAGACTGCTCACTGACCTTCAGGGTCAACATGAGAGTCACATGACCATCTGTGTCTCTCTAACAGCCGTCAAACCAAATATATAAATCACTGCTGCAGGGAATCATTGTGAGCAGCTCTGACTGTGGTCTGAGTAACATTCAACACAATCATAACACATTTCCTAAGACGACCTACTTCCTACAGTGTTGTCATTCTTCCATGAGGGTTAATACTGTTGGTATCTGCAGGTGATACGGTGCTACTCTTCCCACCTGGAGATGATGTGAAGCCATTGACTGTCTGATAAAGCTGATGATGAAACCGCGTCAGACAGGTTGCCCAGACAGGGTGTAATCTCAAATCCATGTCAAGTTTATTTGTCGTCATTAACATCGTTTACTGAACCTCAACCACATTTTTCAATTCAAATATGTAAACAGACAAGACCAAAAGTCCTCAAAATGTCATTAGCACTGAAAGAAATCTAGACATAGTTAGCAACGGTCCATTCTCCTTAGCAACGGTCATGATATGCTTAGCAGCGGCTTGTTAGCGAGTATTAACAACCTCGGAAATGTCCAAATGAACCAATCAGAAACAAGTATTCGACTAAGCAGTGTAATACATATATAAAGTTGTATTGGATGATATCTGGGTTGGCAGCTTGGTAGAGTTTGAAAATGAAAATGTGTGTGTATGCATGTGTATGTGTGTGTGTGTGTGTGTGTGTGTGTGTTACCATAAAGATCCTTTCATGTTTCAGGTCTGTTTTAAACAGCTCTGGTTAAAACAGAGACAGATCTGACAAGTGTCTCTATTAGCTTTCTCTACAATTATATTTTATTTAATAACTGTGTGGCAAGTACAGTGCTGAAATAAAAAAAACATTATCAATTCATCTACCAATTATATTTACTTTATTATTTTCAAGTCTATAAAATGTCAGAATGTAGTAAAAAGTGACATATTCCAAATTATTTTAATACACTTTATAAAAGCACAACTGATCATTTTCGCGCAGACATCGTTTTATTTAAATGTATTTTAAGCTCATTACTTATTGTCTTTCGACCAGACACTGTCCAGAGCAGTATTTAAGGTTAATCTTGTGAATCATAACTCGTTGCTCATACTACAGGTTTGTAAATCCGTCCACGCCCATTGTAGCTATAAAATGTACAAAGAATGTCGAGACAGAATGAACTAGATATTTACTGTAAGTGATCTATGAGGGAAGAGAAAAGGGAAACTATTTTAAGAACAGATGAAGTGCACTTTTATCAGGCTGTTTGCTTTCTCAAGTGTTTGAAGGAGACGGTCCTGGGTTTAAAGACAATGGAGGTTTTTTTGTTATGCTGCCTGATGTTTGAAGCCTCTTCCCAGAATGAACTGTGTACTTGTGGACCCAGAATTAGACTTTTTAATATTAGAAACGACTTAGACACACACGCTTAAAACAATAGACACACATTTGCTTCCCTGTCTGTTACCACTCCCATTCAAACGCAATGTGGGGGAGCAGGATGAAGGGAAGGATGTGAATGAACGTCCGGCCGATGAAACAATAAACGCTGTTGAACCAGGGATGAAACTAATGTTAAAAGACAAGGAAGTGTTGACGCTGTCATCAGTGACTCACAGCAAACATTACAGTACGTCGAGCAGACAGTCTCAACATTAGGTGTTGTGGTTCAGCCCGTGCCCCGGGGGAAAGTCACCAAAGGGGATTTTTCAAACTTCAAAAAGTGTGTTTTTTAGCAAAGATTGGCTGGTCTTCCATCAGCGGCCATGACGTTTTGAAATGTTTCTAACAATCAAGCTAAACTATTAACAAAACAAACTAGTTTTATAACATATTTCAATGTTTTTTAATGTATTCAAAACTATTTTAAATTTCAAATAATGAACAAAGCATGTAAAGTAACACAGACTATGACAAGTTGCTCAAGCGAAAATCCTAAATCTGACGATGCAATCTTGTAGCATTTTTTGTTCCTTCAATTAAATATAAATAAATATTTTCGAAGCACTTTAACTATTAGTTGATTGATCAATTACTTGGCTAACCAAAACATAAATCAGCAGGAGATGTGAGCCTTTTCACACCAGTTAAATGCAAAATAACAGGAAAGAAAAAACCCCAACAACCATAATAGTACCTCTTTCACATAAGGTCACATTAAAGCCACATTTGATGTTCAGTGCAAGGTTTTTTTGTTGTTGTGTTGGAGCACTTCCAGAAGTTTGTTTTCAAGAAGAGATCGTCTGGTTTTCCATCAGCAGACATGTAGCTTTGAGATGATGCAACCGTGAGATTTCCGTGGTTTAGGGCATGAAAGCTGCACTGCGCACACAGGAGCTCCACGTGAGAAGGAGCAAACAAAACCCTCAGCATCATGCATACCTACATTACCCTTTATGTACAGTAAGAGGAAAATCAAAGACCCATTATCTTAAAATCTGGTGCCTCTGAGCACTAACCACCGGCCATTTTCTTCACAACAAAGACTTTTTGGTTCTAATGTTTTCTTCCAGCCATCATGTGCCTGGCAGTGTCTCTGTCACAAGAGATGTGCCCCTCTGTATTTTAAAGCACTGCACTATTACAGCCTGTCTTAATGTTAGTCATTCGCCCTGAAACCTTAATTCTAGAGAGGAATGCTTTCTTGGCAATGCGCCTCGCAGTAATCCCACTGTCATTTAGGTAATTTGAGACTACAGTATATTTCCTGGTTGGCAGAATTATTTGATTGCACCACACCCCAAGGCGCATGTATTAGGTGGAGAGACACACACACACGCAGCTCAACAGATGTGTGTAGTTTTATATGTTGGTAACAGTCAGAGATAATGAGAAGTATACTATTGAAGAGGCTGCTGTGTGCTTGTATGTGCTTTATGTGTCACATTCAGGGGCACATTAGGTCGCAGTTAAATTATAGGAGGCTGTCGTTTCAATATAGCATGTGGCAGATCAAGAGTGTGTGGGTGCGTGTGTGTGTTTGTGCGTGTGTGTGGGTGTGTTTTAGGAAATGGTGAAATGGTTTCTATTCACGGTTATCTGATGCAACTGTTTTCCAGCTTTGCATGTGCTTCATTTAAATACTCAATAGTTCCCTTTCTTTTTTCTACTGTTGAAATATATTTATTATTAACTCAATTTTTAAGTTATGTGCAATGCCTTGTTGACATGCTGCTGTGACAGAACAATGTCCCAATGTGGGATCAATAAGGTAAATCTAAGGCAGCGGTTCCCAACCTTTTTCAACTCGGGGCCCACTTAAGAATCTAAAAATGTTTCGTGGCCCACATTCAACCATAAACAATACGGAGGTTTCTGATTGGTCAATTCAGAACATGTGACACGTTGTGAATCCAGTATTAGAGACCGCTGTCAAAGACTCTAATGACCGTTGCTAAGGAGGATCAAGAAAGAGAAAGGAAAAGAGGTTCAAATAAAGAATAAATCTTAATAATGAAAATGTTTCCCCACAAATAATAATGTTTTGCTAATTATTTGGCGGCCCACTTGCAATGCCTTCAGGTTGGGAACCGCTGATCTAATGTAATCTAACTCTGTGTGTTGTCTCTGATTGACAGGAGCGTACCTGGTGCCGTACCTGATCCTTCTGATCCTGATCGGCATCCCGCTCTTCTTCCTGGAGCTGGCGGTGGGTCAGCGGATCCGCAGGGGCAGCATCGGGGTCTGGAACTACATCAGCCCTCGCCTGGGGGGCATCGGCTTCGCCAGCTGCATGGTGAGTGGAGCAGAGAAGTTCAAGTGAAGCAGAAGAAGGAAGGCTTGATACAGCTTTGTAGGACTAAGAATAGTCAATTAAGATCTGTAACTGCATTTGTATTCATCAACCAATCACATTTGTTTATAACCACAACCTTTCATAATGTAAATAAATAACACAGACGTAAACATTAATACACAAAGCTCATATAAATTGGGATAAATTGGGGTCTTTATAAAATGTCAGAAAATTGTAATATGTTTTGGTTTCTAAAAGTCCAACTTGACAGCTTGGCGTTCAGTCCAAAATTCAAACCTATCGATATAATATAAAGAATACATAGTTGTCGATTATATGCCTGTCTATGAGTAATCAATACGTAGACTTATCATTGCCTTTATGCTACTTTCATGAATAAAATATAAGAAAAACGTTTTCATTCAATTATGTTTTCACAACATTTGAAAAAATATAATAGAAATAAAGAATGCAAAATATAATAATAAATACTATTCTTGAAACATTTGGTCACTAAGAGGATTGGATATTTCATTTTTAGTTGTTTATTTTTAAACTGTGTGGGGCGGTGGTGGCGAAGTCCATAGGGACTTGGCTCGGCAACTGGAAGGTCACCAGTTCAAGTCCCGGAAAGACCAAGTGCTACCGAGGTGTCCCTGAGCAAGGCACCGTTCCCTACACTGCTCCCCGGGCGCCGTACTTAATGGCAGCACACTGCTCCTAACACTAGGATGGGTCAAATGCAGAGAAACCGTTTCGTTACATGGTACCTGTACTACGTAATGACAATAAGTTGAATCTATCTATCTAAATGATCATTGTTACTGTAACCTCAAACGCACTATACCCCAATTCATAAATCTACAAAACAGGAAGTGTAATAGTTTAGTCAAGCGCTTTGAGCAACAGGAAAAGTCTAAATAAGATTTTAAAAAAGGAATAGCAATAACAAAGAGAAAGAATACATGGCGATCATGTTTGGTAGCGCATGATAACTGTTTACCTCTAAAGTTAAACATATCTATCCACTGTTTCTGGTTGTGTGTATCTGAAGCTAACTCCCTCCTGTTTCCTGTAGGTGTGCTTCTTCGTGGCTCTCTACTACAACGTCATCATCAGCTGGAGTCTCTTCTACTTCTCTCAGTCCTTCCAGCAGCCGCTGCCGTGGCACGAGTGTCCGCTGGTCAAGAACAAGACCATGACATGTAAGACACAAATACACTTGTTAAAGCTGGGGTAGGTGGTTTAGTTTGGGGGTCATTTAGAAAAAATCCATAGTAAGCCTTCAGTACATAGTAACTTTAGGTGGTTCCCCAGGGTGGGCAAAGAAAAAAACATTATAACATAGTAACCTTTACGGGTACTAGTCATTTATTACAAACATCAACCATACGATTTATAGGTGATCTTACTTGTAGGCCTGAAAACCCTTTAAGATAATATACTGTGATTTGAGTCTCTAGCTAGCGAAACTAAGGGCAAACATTTCAAAGATGGAGAGAACATTTTGCTAACGTTAGCCTTTAGCTAGCGGCAGACGCAACCCTTTGGCTTGGTTAGCAGAAAGTGAAACTTTTAGCAAAATGTTTCCTCCTGAGCAACACTTCATATCTGTCTCCAGGGGCGCTCCTTGCGAACAGGCAAGGCAGGCAACTACTTGGGGCCCCGGACCAGAAGGGGGCCCCCAAAGAAGGTAGATTAAGAAGGTCCACAGCAACGACAACATGAAACACCCTTTAATTGACTGCAACGACATGTCGGGAAACCCCCTCAAGGCGGCCCCATGCAAGTTGTGTTGCCTTGCTCCACTCCGGGGGGGGGGAAAGCTGGCTCGAGGGGCCCTCAGTGAATGCTTGTCTAGGGCCCGCACCGACTCTAGGATCGCCACTGTCTGTCTCCCTACATGAATTTTCTTTGTTAATGCTGGAATGTTCTGAAACTGAAACATATTCCCTGGTTGAATCAGGGTTTCTGAAATAATGTGCACCAGATCTGCATTTATCTCTCTCTGAATTGACCTGTGATTTGCCAAAGTCGTCTGTCACAGGCTAGGTTTACTATATTCTAAGAACAAATCCAAGATAAAAAAGTCTAGTTTCCTCTTAAACCACTTGAATTTCAAAATACTGAAAGGTTATTATGGTATATTAGCCCATTGACACTAAAAATAAACGTCCTACTCCAGCTTTAAGACTGATTGACAGATCAATTCAACCTTTAACTCCTATCAGAAGGCCTCAGTGCTTATCTTGTACCGTGTTGTCCTCAGATGTGGTGCCAGAGTGTGAAAAGAGCTCGGCCACCACGTACTACTGGTATCGCGAGGCCCTAAACATCTCCAACAACATCTCTGAGGGCGGAGGTCTGAACTGGAGGATGACTCTGTGCCTGCTGGCTGCCTGGACCATGGTCTGCCTCGCCATGATAAAGGGAATCCAGTCTTCTGGGAAGGTAAGGAGGATTAACTGCTCCGTTATGCTTTTGTTAGTTTGGAGAAAATAGGTTTTAACGAGTAGGAGATGAGGCAGAAGAGGAGTAACTCTTTCTTAGGTAACATTAAGCTGTCTTTGGCTCTTTTCTTCAATGTAAATGTCCCCTCTGTGGGACTAATAAAGGTATTCCGAGTCAAACTAAATACTTCGACATTACACTTTAATATAGTAACAACATATTAAATTACATTATGTCTATATGTGTTATTTTACAAGATATGCACCATGCTGTTAACCCTCTAGAGTTAAACTGGACTTAGCCATAACTATTATTATTCCCTTTATTTATGTGGGGGGTTGGGTTGTCCGTAGGTGTTTGGATCAGGGGGTCACAGGTTAAAACCCCACTGCAGGCATGTCGTTGTGTCCCTAGGCAAGACACTTCACCCCAAATGACTTTGGATAAAAGCGTCTAACAAGTAACATGTAATGTATTTTGTGTTGAGTATAACCTTCAATTGGTAAATACATTTATTTAGATGTATTCAATTTGTTGTATTTTAGCAACAAGCTGCAAAAAAGCAGATCTGAACACATTATATATTTTCAAGAATAATCGTTATCGCGATACCTGACATTATCAAATATGTCCTTGTATCTTGCAGACATATAACCTAATCAAATATATTTAATTAATTAGTTACAGATTTTAAACTTTATCGTAAATCCCCTTTTTTCCTCATATTTTGCAGCCCTTACGACAACTCAAATATAGCTCTTGAGAAGTGAAACAGTAACAGAAACAAAAAGCCTTTTCTTGGAAAATCCTCTGACAAATAATTAGCTCACTTCAAGCTAGAGGTTTACAGTGAGCTGTAATGATGCCTGGTCTAAAGACACTGCTGAGTGACTCCTGTAATGTGACTTGACAAATGTTTCCAATGATCCAGCATCAGATATGAGCCTGAGAGCTCATGTGATCCGGTGTGTTATTTCTGACTAGGCTTAGCATAGCAAAGCTGACAGTAGCGTGACTAGCATCCCGGCTAAAGGTTTGGCGTTTGCTTTCAAACTCACCCCACGCCTCTTCTCTTTTTACAGGTGATGCTTATCATTCCACACTCTCTCGTATCATATGACCAGCATTAGCCGGTGCACTTCCAAGGTTACAGTCAGGCTTGCACTAATTGGACAAATTGTCACACTATTTAATCTTCACAGAATGAGCTTTGATGGGGAAGTCATTTGATTTTGGTATTATCCCCACTTATTATTTCAAGTCTACGGGGTCAAAATTAATACAGTATACTTCAAATTTTTGACAGCAATAAGAGTAAAGTCTTGGTGAGTTTGAGTCAACTTAAGTCAATGAAATGAGTCTTTGTAATAGTGCCAAATCATGGGTAATTAACACCCAGCTCTGCAGCTCTGTAAAGCCGCTTTTAGGTCATTATTTTAGTTTTACAACACATTTACTGTAAGTCTCATGCATTCATCAACTGCTGCAGACAACTGTTTCCAACTCAAAGGCTCCGATAGACCCACTGGAGAGACAGGAGACACAATGTGAGCGACCAGCTGGTTAAAACTAGCAGATAAAGAACCAGGCGTTTTTCACAGGAGTAGGTGGAGACCAAAATCCAGACATATTGCTACAGTACAAATGGGACATCTTTAATGAGGTTATAAATAAAGAAGGAAGTAGGGTAATTTTTTCATAGACTTCTATACAATCGGAAACAAAATTCACCAGTACCCATGGACACAGCGGTTGATCGTAATTAAGTACATTTATTCAAGTAAAGTACAATTCTTAGGTACTTACAAATATTCATGTTGCTACTTTATACTTCTACCACACTACATTTGATAAGGCAATATTATATGTTAACTATAATACATTTGTCTAACAGCTTTATAGATTTAGATTACTAGCTGATACAAAATATAGATAGATAGAATGGGAGGGATGAAACCCTCTTCAATGGTCTCACATGCAGAGCACACAGTGACATGTGTTCTCTTCTTTTAACCCATCCTAGTACCAGGAGTCTAGTACTAGGAGCAGTGGGCAGCTATTGTACAGCGCCCGGGGAGCAATGGGAGTGAGGGGGGAAGGGGGGTGTCCGGTGCCTTGCTCAAGGGCACCACGGCAGGGCAGGAGGTGAACTGGGACCTCTCCAAGTAGCAGTCCACACTCCATATTTAGGTCTGGTCGGGGACTTACTACGGCTCACAGTCCAAGCCTCTACTGACTGAGCCACTGCCGGACTTATACACACTTATAAATAAAAATGTACATATATTTATTGATAGAAATATCCAGCGACCTACAATGTCATTAAAATGAACTCCATCTTTACCAGCTGTGACTGACATTAATGGAACAACTGGATTAATGTGATTCGGAAAATTGTCAATTATGCTGAAGAAGTACGTTTACTTTTAGTACTCAAGAGTATTTCATTGCCAATACTTTTGTACTTTTACTTAAGTAAGATTTTGAATGGAGAACTGTCACTTGTAACAGGGTATTTTTACTATTTAGTATTAAGTATTAGTTTACTTAAGTATATACTTCCTGCACTTCTTTCCCCCCAGGCTGGATATTAGAAAGACTGCAGGTTAAGGGCACTCTCGCATTGGCTTCACTTTTTGTGTATCCGCCAGCTTGTTTTAACATTTTCTTGCTTTAAGGATCCGGTCGTCAGGTTATTGAACATCGGGTCAAAGCTAAATGAGTTTCCCACCTTGAAGCCATCTGTACTGAGCGCAGCGACTTTTGAAACGCATTCACCACAACAGCCTCAGACTAAACAACAGAGTCGCTTTAATCTCAATCTGTGTCACCATGGTTTTGCAGCACTAGACAGTCTCATTTCCTTCATTTGCTACATCCTGCCGCCTGCCAAAACTGTCACTGATAACCACAATCATTGTCACACTCACCATCCTGACTGCCGCTCTGAGGGGTTTTATTAGCATACATGATGTTCAGTTCCTGCCATTATTCAAATCAGTAGTGAAAGAAGAACTCAGATTTGACACTTGAGTGAAGTAGTGATACTAAATCGTAAAAAGACTATTACATGTTAAAGCCCAGCATTAGTAAATTGTACTAAAGTAAAAGTACATGGTATCAATATATACTTAAGTACCCTGAAAGTACTAGTAATGGCCAATTTCAGAATCGTTAATATTACATTAGTAGATTTTGATTATTGATGCATTGGCAGGCGGCAGGTCGACTGTGGCTGCGAGGGAGTGCGGTCGTCTTTCAACCAGAAGGTTGTGGGTTCGATCCCAGCCCGTGCAGTCAACATGTCGATGTATCCTTGAGCAAGATACTTAACCCTGAGTTGCTCCCGATGGCCAACAGTGTTTGAATATGTGTGAATGTTAGGTCCTAGAGTAAGGTAAACTGCTCTGTATGAACGGGTGAATGACATGCGGTATGTAAAGCGCTTTGAGGGATCTTAAAGACTGGATAAAGCGCTATATAAGTACAGTCCATTTACCATTAATGTGTTCATCACAGCTGGTAAAGGTGGAGCTTATTTAAATGACATTGCATACTGCTGCTGGGTTTTAACCTATAATAACATGTAAATGTTAATTTCTTGGTGATTCACATTTTGTATTAGCGGATTCAATGAATCTGTAAAGTAACTTAGATACATGTAGTGGAGTAAAAAGTACGTAGAAATTAAACAAAAACTTATATGTACTTCATTACATTTTACCACTGTGTCCAGCGGGTAACGGTTGAAAAAAAAAAGGATGTTCAATTGTATAGAAGTCTATGAGGAAATGGTTTTACTTCTCAGTTGATGTATCATCTCAGTAAAGATTCCCCTTTTGTAGCAATGTTTCTGGCTAAGTACAAGTACCTCAGACAAGTTCAATTCCTTTATGAAATAAACCACCCCTGCTAAACATATATGCATCTATGTTATGAAGACGAAATAACCCCTTTGTTTTTTGTAAATCGCCCAAAAAAGCCACCCAAGCAACTGGTTAATTGTACAGTTAGAGCCAGATGGTGTTGCTCAAACTACCTGGTGTGTCTGGATGGCCTTTTGAGTTGGCGCGAGAAGAAATGGCCGTGAACGTTCCCTCAAAGGGGCCAGCTCCGAGTGTCTTTGAAGTGCCGTACAAAAGAATATTAATGCTCTCTCTCTACACCCGTGCTCACAAAAGCCCTTTTCCAAGAAATATCCCTACCACCATCTGCATTTCATTCCCGTGTGTGTGGGTGGGCGTGAAAGGGATCGGACGTTTTGGTTTCCATGGTTTTACGCGCTCTTTTGGCTTGGCTTGATTGTCAAGAGTGCGGCCAAAAAAAAAAGGGGTAGGGCGGGTGAATAATGGCTTATGATGGGGGAGAGAAGAGGGGTGGTCGTAGATTTGGTAAAATAGACGTGAAGTTCATTAAGAGTATTTGAAAGTTGCTGAACATCATGTAAAGTAACATTATTTAGTTAATTAAATTATGTAAAATAGCCTTTAGATTCCTGACACATGTGAAGACAATTACCCCTTATGGGAAAACTATCTTTTATTATCAGTTTATGACGATAACAGTGCAGTTATTTGAATATGACGTTTCCAATAAGCACATGCTATCTGCCCTGACACAGCACCTTTCATAATAAAGTTTTTTTTTTATAGAAGATAATGCTGAGGTTGCAGATATTTGTCTATCGCACAAAAAAGAGCCTGTTTGGCTTTGTGCTGACCAAGGCCAAGAATGTGTTCTTCAACAAAAGCACAAAGTGGGAGGTTTAATCAGTGAAGGACTGACAAGAGCTGCAGGTGTGGAAAGATACAAAATGTAAGAAATGTATTGCAACTATGACATTTGACTTTATTTTTAGGGATATAGTCCAGCAGAGATTTAGCCTTTGCAGAACATTTACATGCACAAAAACCTATATAACACACTACAGGAAAGGGAACACCCCCAAAGGCATTATTGGGCCTCTTTACTGGTACCAAAATATGTCTCAGCTTTACAAACCCATTTAACAATTAAAGGTAGGCAAGGCAAGGCAAGGCAAGGCAAGGCAAGTCTGAAGGAAGAGGCAGATTGTTTTCGGCTGCGTACTTTCAAATTCTAGCGCTCTCGAGCTGGTTTCACCATTCTTATCTACCCTACCTTTAACATATAAAAAACGTTATATATTTGTTGTGGTTAAGAAAAAAACCTTTCCTAAAGAAGGGAGAACTTTACCGTCACTTGAAAATCTGTAGTACAATGTTGTATGGGACCCATTTAGATTTAAATAAAACGTTGCATTACCAAAGAACAAATATAAGTCTGAGTTAACCAAACTACTTCACGTTAAGGACAATCAGAAATACGTTTGTCTGTCTCCAAGCATTGAGAGAAAGTCATTTACCTTCACTGTCCTTGAACTTTCAAACATGTAGTGAATCCTGCTTGAGGGTCGTCTTTAAAGGACGAGATATTACACAGTCTTTGTCAGAGCTGCATATGGACCATGTTAGATGTCTCTGAATCACTTACTGTGCTTAACCCCAAACCATCCTACGATGACTGCATCCCCCCCACACACCCCTCTGCCCATCCTGTGAGCTGACGTCTCACAAAGTAGAGTCTGAGTCAGACCTCTTAGGATTTAAGTGCCACCTAGTCTTTATAGAAAAGGAGAGAAAAGAAGAGAGACGCCCACTGTCTACAGTAAATAGCAAGATAATTGAATACAAAGCTTTCTTGCTGATATTGATAACATACCGTAGCTTTCATGGTACAAGTCATCTCTTCTTCAAGATGTCACTCGTAAAGATACACAAAATAAAAGTTGAAATGTGTGTCAAAGTCCCCCACCTAAAAAAAGTTATTTTGACCAAGAACAAAATGCCATCCACGTTAGACAGAACTGCTCAGTGTTAACTCTCATTTCATGTTTCTGCCAAATGATCATGATCACGCTGCATAGATAGTTAGATAGTAAGATCACACTACATGTATTTGAGTTTTTCTCTAAAAAGGCACGGTCTGATAAGTGTTTTTCTGACAGGAACTGAACAGCAGTTGTCATCTAATCACCGATAGGTTTTACTCAGTGACCTAGAAAACCATGACAATTGGCAATAAGCAAGAAACAATGTACATCTAAAGTAATCTAATCTGGATTATCTGATTTATCATTATTATTATTTAGGTCATTGGCATCTAAAAGCATCTTATTTTGATTTTAAGCAACTTATCAAACATTTTGTCTTTATTCAGGGTGTCCGCGGGGTCTTAAAAAGTATTAACAGTTGATAAACCAATTTAGCGACGATGAAGGCTATTAAAAAGTATTAAACGGCATTTTCCAAGGTATTACATTTTGTAGCTTGTTTTCAATAAGTATCTAAATGGTCCAAAGAGGTTGTATTCTACAGTCTGCCTGAATGTAATCATTGCGTAGGTGTGTAGTGTGATTCTGTATAGTTTATTGATGGCATCCCGTTGGATGTGTCATCTGAACAGGACATCGCACGCTCACTGCTTGATAGCGCGAAGCTCCGTTTACGCCGGTTGCTAAACAACATCGTTATGGGGAAATGCAAGTCTGCGTCCAAATGGTTGGAAGATAAGGAGGAAGGACAATCAATACTGCATATAGTCAATGTGAGGTAAAGTGTGTCGCCAAGGTAACCGGTTAGAACTCCAAGTGGCGATGAGGTCTTCAAATGTATGGAGAGGGTCTTAAAAAAAGGTTTTAAAGGGTTTTACATTTGACTTCAGGATTCCTGCATATACCCTGTTATTGCTAAATGGTTCACCTCTGCCGTTTCTTTTGACGGTATCATGCCTTCAATGCCTACATGTTGTGCTAAATGATATACTGTATGTATGTAGACCGAACTAATGTAACTACAGGCTGACTGGTATAGTTTGATGCATTTAACAGGAGTTTTTCTTTAACTTACAGGTGATGTACTTCAGCTCTTTGTTCCCGTACGTGGTGCTGATCTGCTTCCTGGTGCGGGCTCTGCTCCTGAAGGGCTCCATCGACGGGATCCGACACATGTTCACACCAAAGGTAACACACCTTAAAGTCAGGGTTTCTCCTCACTGTAACAGTACAAATGAGAAAAAGTCTTATGAATCCAATCTCTCTATAATATAAGCTCAAAGTAAACATCAGATACAACACAACAGCCAACCTACACATCATCAAATCAGTATTTTGTATTAGGAAATTCTGAATTGCTTCCATCGTCAATTAAAATGAGATATGTCAGGAAATAGGATCATCATAAGTCAATAAGTGAAGTCTGACCAAGAGTCTCAAAACACAACTCGATGTTAAACAGGAATAACTAATGTCCCTACCAAGGAACATTTTAACTAACGGAGGGATATCTTGATTATAAGGATTTACCTAAGAAACATTTTTCAGTCTCAATGAATTGCTTTGTCTATAAGATGTCAGAAAGGCCACTTATATTTTGCCAGAGAACAAGAAAGTGTCTTTGAAAATATAGTTGTATTAGTAGTAAGGATTTTGCACTAATTATCACAAAGAAAAGCATCAAATCAAACATCTTAAAGGCTGGAATCAGGAGTGTGTTAACAACGCTTGAACAATGACTAAAATAATAGTCAAATTAGATAACCAATCCTTTAATCGTCTCGTCTTTTTAAAATGAAGAAATACTTAAATCATAACTTATACTTAATACCTCCAATTTGTCAGGAATGAACATTTAACAATTTCTCAAGCAGCCTCTGTTGAACTGAATTGACTGAAAAAAGAAAAAAGGTTTCTGAACTAAAAAATGAAATCTGCCCGGTGATTGGCCGGCTCTTTTTGGCCAATGGCATCTCAGGCTGTGGAATCATGTCACCATGGAAACAGGAGTTACTAAGGCTTTATGTAACCAACCAGCCTGAAAACGCTGGCTCACAGCAGACGGTCTCCGGTGTCTGCTCCGTGTCCTCGGCTGACACCGAAATACTCCAATCAACCACTCGTTCTGCTGCCGCCATTCTGCGAGAACCTGCAGACATCAAAGTGTTTCTGCTCTCTGTCGGAACAGATTCAGGGCTTTTGTTACAGAAAAGGACAAACGTGGAAACTGTCAACATGCCAGAGCTCATTTGGCAAGATGGTGAATGGAGCAGTCCGCACAAAACAAACAGATAGTGTGTTAGTCTTGGTGTCTACAAATATTTGAAAGAGGAAAATCAACTCAAATTGTAGCGGCAATAACTCCCTATGAGTTAGCCGCTGAGAGGCTAACATGTGCTCTTTGCTGTGACGCGTTCCACGTAGGAGTCCGTAGTCATTTGTAGTCCATGGTGTTTGATAAAGACGAAAACAAACAATATACAACTCCATACCTGACGGTCAACAGAAAGTCAGAGCGCCATTCACCCTCTTCATACGTCGTATCCTCCAAACCGGCATCCAACAGGTGACTAAATACCAATAAACCACACCCACGTGACCATTGCCGGAAGTGATAAACAATAAGAATTAAACGTGACGCAAACAGAAATGAAGATAATAATAGAAGTAATAAGTAATGGCAAAACAAGCATTAGGCAAGGCCCCTAATTATTATATAACAATTTATAATAATTATTCAAAACAAATTAAAATAAAACACCGTATATTCTAATGATATTCAGATCATCATGTTTTAAATCCAGTATTCATATATCAGTATACAAGCAATCAAGTCTGCTGTGTGTAGTATTGCGAGTGCAGGGGGCACACATAGTCACTGTATGCAGGAGCAAGGTGAAAAATGGAAAATTATTTAGACATGGCAAAAGTTTCTCTGCCTCATGAAAAAGGCGTACTTGGCTGAGGGGTCTGTTCAGAAAGCCACTATTTGTCTTCATCTGAATCACAAGTACAAGTCCTTTTTCACAGCAAAGAGCACATGTTAGCCTCTCAGCGGCTAACTCATATGGAGTTATTGCCGCTACACAAATGAATGACCACTTACTTGCTTTTTCTCATGTGAACATAACCAACTTGTTAATGCGAATATAACTTCTAAAATGTATTGTCAATTCCAGTAATTCATGTTTTGGACTGCTTTTACCCTCAAAATATACACCTTTATTAAAAAATATAGCTGTTCTCCTAAGCTAACAGTGCACTGTGTCACTTTGTGTCTTCAGCTGGAGATCATGTTGGAGCCCAAAGTGTGGCGCGAGGCGGCCACACAGGTCTTCTTCGCTCTGGGCCTCGGCTTCGGAGGCGTCATCGCCTTCTCCAGCTACAACAAGCGGGACAACAACTGCCACTTCGACGCCGTCTTGGTGTCTTTTATCAACTTCTTCACCTCCGTGCTGGCCACCCTGGTGGTTTTTGCCGTGCTGGGCTTTAAAGCCAACATAATGAACGGCAAATGCATCTCACTGTGAGTAGCAGCAGCTTCCTCTCTCATTCAGATATGTATAGACAACTGCATTTACTGCAGACCATCACAGAGCAGATCTAGGGGTAAAGGCGTGCATGTTACTCAGACTAAAAGCGGCTTTGTGGTTATTGTATTCTTGACATTTGAAATAGCAGAAAAGGAAACAGTTCGGGGAAATAGTTTAGAAGAAAAAGCCCCTACCATATTTAGTTTGAATATATGTTAGAATTTACAGTCCCTGAACATGTTTTCTCTGAACGATTTTTAAACTATATTTGAACCATTTTCTAAACCCCGCCCACAAACATCGACTACACAATCATATTGTAGCTACTGTAACTAGGTACTGTGGCAGTTGTCACTATTTACATTTCTCCTCATGCTGTACACAAACACTGGGTTTCAAGCCTTTTCAAAATAAAAAACACAAACAAAAGTGTAATTAATGTATTAAATAATGTTTATATGCGCTAACATGAGCTACAACTAAGCTAGTAAGTTACAGTAATGCTGACTTTGTAAGGTTGGAGCAGAGCATTAGTTATATACTTGGTTATAACGTTTGAAGGGTAAACGTTATGTAAAAAATACGTTTTTCATGATTTTATTTTTAAAACGAGTCGTCTGGAAACATTCAAATGTTATCTTTTTCATAGCTGCCAGCAAAACATTTCAAAATCTTTTTATTTTGTCCACTTCTTGTAAATATTGCGGACCCATCTGCCACAGTTATCATTGCAAACTCTATATGTCCAAGCGTGAAATGCATTGCAAAAGTAACTAACTACTTTCTCATTATCAATAACTTTTGCCTGTTTTTTGTTTTTTTTAGAAACACCCAAAGGATTGTGTCGTTGTTGGGGAACGGGATTGAACACAGCCTGATCCCTCACCACATCAACCTGACTCAGGGCAGCGAGGTGAGCAGCGAGGACTACGATCAGATGATGGAGATCATCAAGAGGGTGAAGGAGGACCAGTTCGACTCGCTGGGTCTGGAGGCCTGCAGCATCGAGGGCGAGCTCAATAAGGTAGAAACCAAAGCTACGAGTCTTAAGGTCAACAAAGAGATTGGCATGATATAATTGAGCTAATGCACATTAAAGTATAGTGAAATAAAGGTTGCATGAATTCCAAAATGAAGCTTTTAAATTCATCTTTAGGAACAAATCACAATGTGCAATATTAGATTCCATGTGATTTTTGTTTTAGCATTATATTGGAAGAAAAAGTCGCATCTGCTTTAAAAGAAAAACATTTGGGCCACTTTAGCGTACGTAGCCTGAGCTAACTAGCTGCTAGAGCTAGCTTCACATATACAGTACACTGCTTTTATTTATTTGTTACTATTATTTTACTGTATTGAGAGAAGCTTACGATATAATGTTATGTGAATGTTGTTGTACACAAGTATAATGACACTAAAGATATTCTGATTCTGAGCATTGAAGAAGTATCTTAACTATTTCTGAGCTTTTCCTACATCTGGAAAATAGCACAGTCACACTTACTTCTCTGATCGTTACATTATGATGTTAAGCTATTAAAGCCAAGTAACGCTCCAGGAAAGGGCAAGGATTAAGCCTGATGAACTTCTGAGAGGGCTTTAATGTGAAACACATGAGCATTAGACTTAGGGTAATTAGAAATAAAGGTTATAAGATCTCTTAAGGTCACCCAAAGTCTTGAAAAAAGGCCCCCCCTTAGTGCCACTGATATGTTACCTCTTCTTCTCTCTTCCTCTAACAGGCGGTCCAAGGAACAGGTTTGGCCTTCATCGCCTTCACGGAGGCCATGACACATTTCCCCGCCTCGCCCTTCTGGTCCGTCATGTTCTTCCTGATGCTGGTGAACCTCGGGCTGGGCAGCATGTTCGGCACCATCGAAGGCATCCTCACCCCGCTGATAGACACCTTCAAAGTCCGCAAGGAATTTCTTACAGGTTAGTGAGACCTTAGTCACCTATTATTCAAAATCCACTTGTTCATGTCTTTTATACATCAACATGTGTCCCCTCTTCTTCATGTCTCTTCTACATCAACATGTGTCCCCTCTTCTTCATGTCTCTTCTACATCAACATGTGTCCCCTCTTCTTCATGTCTCTTCTACATCAACATGTGTCCCCTCTTCTTCATGTCTCTTCTACATCAACATGTATCCCCTCTTCTTCTTGTCTCTTCTACATCAACATGTGTCCCCTCTTCTTCATGTCTCTTCTACATCAACATGTGTCCCCTCTTCTTCTTGTCTCTTCTTCATCAACATGTGTCCCCTCTTCTTCATGTCTCCTCTACATCAACATGTGTCCCCTCTTCTTCATGTCTCTTCTACATCAACATGTGTCCCCTCTTCTCCATGTCTCTTCTACATCAACATGTGTCCCCTCTTCTTCTTGTCTCTTCTACATCAACATGTGTCCCCTCTTCTTCATGTCTCTTCTACATCACCATGTGTCCCCTCTTCTTCATGTCTCTTCTACATCAACATGTGTCCCCTCTTCTTCATGTCTCTTCTACATCAACATGTGTCCCCTCTTCTTCATGTCTCTTCTACATCAACATGTGTCCCCTCTTCTTCATGTCTCTTCTACATCAACATGTATCCCCTCTTCTTCTTGTCTCTTCTACATCAACATGTGTCCCCTCTTCTTCATGTCTCCTCTACATCAACATGTGTCCCCTCTTCTTCATGTCTCTTCTACATCACCATGTGTCCCCTCTTCTTCATGTCTCTTCTACATCACCATGTGTCCCCTCTTCTTCATGTCTGTTCTTCATCAACATGTGTCCCCTCTTCATCATGTCTCTTCTACATCACCATGTGTCCCCTCTTCTTCATGTCTCTTCTACATCAACATGTGTCCCCTCTTCTTCATGTCTCTTCTACATCAACATGTGTCCCCTCTTCTTCATGTCTCTTCTCCATCAACATGTGTCCCCTCTTCTCCATGTCTCTTCTACATCACCATGTGTCCCCTCTTCTTCATGTCTCTTCTACATCAACATGTGTCCCCTCTTCTTCATGTCTCTTCTACATCAACATGTGTCCCCTCTTCTTCATGTCTCTTCTCCATCAACATGTGTCCCCTCTTCTCCATGTCTCTTCTACATCAACATGTGCCCCCTCTTCTTCATGTCTCTTCTACATCAACATGTGTCCCCTCTTCTTCATGTCTCTCCTACATCAACATGTGTCCCCTCTTCTTCATGTCTCTTCTACATCACCATGTGTCCCCTCTTCTTCATGTCTCTTCTACATCAACATGTGTCCCCTCTTCTTCATGTCTCTTCTACATCAACATGTGCCCCCTCTTCTTCATGTCTCTTCTACATCAACATGTGTCCCCTCTTCTTCATGTCTCTTCTACATCAACATGTGTCCCCTCTTCTTCTTGTCTCTTCTTCATCAACATGTGTCCCCTCTTCTTCATGTCTCCTCTACATCAACATGTGTCCCCTCTTCTTCATGTCTCTTCTACATCACCATGTGTCCCCTCTTCTTCATGTCTCTTCTACATCAACATGTGTTCCCTCTTCTTCATGTCTCTTCTACATCAACATGTGTCCCCTCTTCTTCATGTCTCTTCTTCATCAACATGTGTCCCCTCTTCTTCATGTCTCTTCTACATCAACATGTGTCCCCTCTTCTTCATGTCTCTTCTACATCAACATGTGTCCCCTCTTCTACATCAACATGTGTCCCCTCTTCTTCTTGTCTCTTCTACATCAACACGTGTCCCCTCTTCTTCATGTCTGTTCTACATCAACATGTGTCCCCTCTTCTTCATGTCTCTTCTACATCAACATGTGTCCCCTCTTCTTCATGTCTCTTCTACATCAACATGTGTCCCCTCTTCTTCATGTCTGTTCTACATCAACATGTGTCCCCTCTTCTTCATGTCTCTTCTACATCAACATGTGTCCCCTCTTCTTCATGTCTCTTCTTCATCAACATGTGTCCCCTCTTCTTCATGTCTCTTCTACATCAACATGTGTCCCCTCTTCTTCATGTCTCTTCTACATCAACATGTGTCCCCTCTGTGGAAAGAGACTCTGAAAGTTTCAGGAACAAAGATTCTCTCTCTTTTTGATCCATTTCTATAAAAACCTGTCTGAAAATGAGCTGATCAGATTTTGGCCACTTTATGATGTCATAACGATGTGTTGTCTTGTGTAACCATTAGCCAATCAGCAACCAAGGCACCCCCCCCCCCCACCTTATCACCTGAATCTCCTCCTAGAGCTCCATTGAGTTCTTTGTAACCAAATCTCTCTCAGAGGGGCGTGGGGAGGGGCTCCTTATTTTCATCTAAAGTAACAGACAGAGAATCAGCACTTTGGAAACAGGGCTGAAACAGAGGGGATTATGGGATTATGTTTGGAGCCAAACACTTCAGAGACAGGTTCTGTATATATCTGAGACCTATAATATATTGATGAAAAACAGTATAATAGGGGACCTTTAAATATCTTATCTGTATCTCCTGCGAAGCTCAGATGGTACAATTGTGTCTAAGGCACAACTTCCCTCACTAGTCAGGAGGAATTTACTGTTTTTTATTCTTAGATTAAGTCAAATAAAGAGGTTTTTGAGTCCCTGCCTGAACTATGAAGGTATTGTGTTGAGTTCTGTGATGGGATTGTGTCCCAATGAATGTTTTGGGTGCAGGGTTGAGGAGGCAGTAATGGTAGGAAATCTTACAAAAGAGGGCGGTTGCATGATTGCATAAAGTCCTGTTCAGACTTCTTGAATGTTGAATTCTGAGGTTAGATTAATCTCTGGATGTCTGTGGAGTCTGATGCAACTCAAACAGGAAGCAGACTCGTTAACTTTACAATTATGAGTAATCATTTACATATATTTGTCTGAAGAGAAATGTGTATTATGCTGTGATGTCAGTACCCAGTCTTTAACCTCAGCATTAGGATGGAGTATCTATTCTGCAGGTTATTGCCTCTTGATATTATTGCTTTTAATTGAAGCCAAAGCCAGTTTATCCTACCTTCAATATGCAGTTACAGTGAATTCACTTTACTTACGTGTCTTTTATGGGTATAGTATATCAAACCCCCTCTTTTAAGTTGAGGCTTGCTTCAGCTGCTTACCCAGAAGTCTTTTAACTTACTTTAGCCCCTACTGTATTTACAATGTTGTTTTTAAACCATTCTATATCTCTTCTATGCATGGTTTTTACAAATCTGTTATTCCATAATGTTAATTTATTGTGTTTCTTTCTTTTGTCTTCTTATTAACCCTCCTATTGTCTTCGTTTCCCCCCCTTACTTTGGTGTTCACGGTCAAATTTGACCGGTCCTGTTTTAACTGCTATTACATTAACACAAAAACCATTAATCATCACCACATTTCATTTAACACCCTTTCAAACTGTACATATTGTATCAGACTACTGGTATACATGAAACACTGCAGTAAATATACAAAGAACAGACACTGAACATGTATTGCGTGTGCCAGGTGTGATCCATGTGGGGGGATGGGCACATAAGAGCGGGACATGTGTCAAATTGCTCTGTGTGTGTGTGTGTGTGTGTGTGTGTGTGTGTGTGTGTGTGTGTGTGTGTGTGTGTGTGTGTGTGTGTGTGTGTGTGTGTGTGTGTGACACCGGGAACACCATGGGTGTTACAAAGTTGACTAAATCATCCAACATTCAATGAAAGTGGTGATCAGTAATTGAATATGTTTAAATGTCTCCTGTGAAGGATATCATGAAGCCTGAATGCAATCAGATGTAAAATAAAAAAGTCATGATTGCTGAAAGTAGTAAATCGGTCAGATTTGACCCGAAGACAACAGGAGGGTTAAGTGTTAATGATGATGTAAAGCACTTTGAATTGCCTCCGTGTCTGAAAATGTGCTATATAAATAAACGTACCTCTCCTCTCGCCTCCCGCAGTGGGGTGCTGCGCGCTGGCCTTCTGCATCGGCCTCCTGTTCGTTCAGCGCTCAGGGAACTACTTTGTGGCGATGTTCGACGACTACTCCGCTACTCTGCCTCTGCTCATCGTCGTCGTGCTGGAGAACGTGGCCGTCGCCTGGGTCTACGGGATCGATAAGTAAGAACACAACTTCATCCATCTATACCTTTTAGAAATGGGTCCTGTACTAAAGAAACTGCCATCGTTTGAGATACATTTGGAATATTTAGCAAACGCAACAGTAGCAATATGCAGTTTTGGTTTAAATACAACTTTCAAACTATTATGAAAACCTAAAATGGTGTATTTATTTATTTATGTTGTTTTTACACAAAGTGGATTTTCCCAACACAAGAGCTGTGTTTTCTATAAAGAGCAAGCTGTTATTTAGAGTTGTGACTTTGAGCAGTAAACACAAACTCTTTGCCTGCCAAGTATGACTGTTTCTGGAGATCACTCTTAGGTACTGAAGTGCATTTACTCAATTTAAAGTACAACTTGCATTCCATTCACTGCATTTCCGAAGCCATTTTTGTACTTCTTATTCCATAACATTTATTTACAGCGTAGTTACCTTATACAATTATCAATAAAAACAACAACAAACATAGTCCAGAAATGTGATAATTACGCCTAACGAGTGCCTTTATTTGAGGAGATGGTGAGAAAGCAAGGCCGTAAAATCCCATGCGACCCCAAACACATCCTGTATGGAGAGTTTGAGTTGCTGCCTCGGGCAGAAGGTATATATTACCAAACTGTAAATTGAACAGGTGTAAGTCTTCCTTTGTTCCGCTGTCAATCAAGCTGCTGAACAGTCAGGAACAATTGTGATTATGCTGTTAGGAGTTGTTGGGAGGTGCAATGTTTACAGTGTAGTTTGTGCAATCGAGAAGGTTAAATAGGGGAAGTGCATTATGTGTAAATAGGTATGGACACAATAGGGATATTTGCAATCTGACGGACACTATTGATTTGTGTATAAATACAATAGGGAAAAGTGCAATATTGATTATGTATGTGCAATAGGGAAAGTGCTGTACCTGTATGTTTCTTGTTTGTTTCTTTGCCATGTGATATGTGATCTCTATTCTGTATCTATGACTGATTGACCTGAATGTTTTATGTGTATCATCTCGATGCCCAAGACAAATGTCTCCTAAGGGAGACAATAAAGCTCTATCTTATCTTAACTTTTGGTACTTCAGTATATTTTGATGCCAATACTTTTTTACTTTTAAGATTTTGAATGCAGGACTTTTACTTGTAACAGAGTATTTTTCCAAGTTATCGTCACATCCATAGGCGGCGCGTGAGGCTCAGGTTTGGGAAGGCTAAATAACTTTTGTTACCTGACGCTGCCCGCCTCCGGCGTCTATAGAAAAGAGATCAACTCAGTGTGCGGAGTTTAAATCTCTCAAGTCATATTACAGGATAAAGGAAATACAGTTTAAACTGCCGTATGCAGAGAAGACGCCGACGTGTCGCACTTATCACATCATCAATCAGATCATCGATCATATAATATCACAATATATCATATATTTCCTTATCTGAGTCAGCTGAGCCGTATCTGGCCGTGCAACACTCACAGTGTCACAGACTGTATGCAGAAGTATTATTTTAAGCAACACATTAAGTTGACGAAACACTCAAATGTAATTAAAGTCAGATCCACTCGTGTCTTAGACGGGGCAGTGATATCATAAAATTGTTGTACGCTTTCAAACACTCGGTAGGCCTAGTTATTTTTTAACCAGTTGTTCTGTATTCTCCTTGCAGCAGCTCTGTGGCTTGTATCCTGGATTATATGTTTAAGTCATGGATGTTTAAAGTTCATATTTGTCTAATATTAGTTTACTTTTCATGAATGAAGTATGACGCTGCGCTGTCGGTACACTTGTCCCTGTTTGTGATTGGTCAAATGTTGCTAACCCCGCCCCTTTCCCGTGAACGCGCTCGCAGCTGGAGAGAAACCCCAGCTTGATTTACCGAGTTGATAACCAGCGCCGTAGGACCGCTTAGCGAGATCTCCTTTGTTGTTGTTAGTTAGTTTGCTACTCAAACATATCCAGGGTCTGTTGAACTGGCTTCGTAGCACAGGGCACAGGTGGCTGCATAGCAGCGCTAATGTCAAAGACACAAACATTATACATTATATTTTTATTTTACCAGGATGCAGTGACACAAATATTTGGGAAGGCTTAGCCTTCGCTAGCCTACAGCACCCGCCGCCCCTGATCACATCTATTCCACACATCTTCCCCCACTGATGTGTGTAATGTTAGAAAGGAGCATAATGTATACAGCATGTACAGTAAAGGCCATCAGGTTTATAAAGCACATGAAACTATTGTTACTCCTCCACTCCAGACGTCTGATCTCACCTCCTGCTGCGTGCCTCTGTTTCCTCTCAGATTCTTTGAAGACCTGAAGGAGATGCTGGGCTTCACGCCGTACCGCTTCTACTACTACATGTGGAAGTACATCACGCCCACCCTGCTGATAGTGCTGCTGTTCACCAGCTTCATCCAGCTGGCCATGAAGCCGCCCGTCTACAGCGCCTGGATCCAGGAAGAGGTGAGTCTCCGCTCAGCCTCTCCTGGGACCATTTGTTGGAGACCTGGAACGAGAAAAAAGCAAATAACAGGGTTCAAAGTCCATGAGGCAGGAGCTAAAAATGAGGGGGAAAGGCACGATTTCACATGTTCAGACGTCCTTTAACCCTCAGACAATCAACAGGATGTTGGGTCTAACACAGAGACATTGAAGCACCTGTTTGATCACATCAAGAGAAACATGCTCAGTAAGTGGAGCAAAGGCTCAATGGGACAAAGTGTCCCTGCATGGTCTTTGTTTAATTTGTCAAGTTTACAATTATATAAATTAAATTCAGCATTCACATGCACTAAAACCAATATAACAATACAGGAAAGGGAAAACCCCCAAAATGCATAATACGGCCCTACAGGGAATAAAATAATCTCTCATCTTAAACACATATCATCTCTAGTAAATAAAAGGACATTACAACATCTGAACCCAACCTGCTGTGTGTGTCCTCCAGGCCAGAGAGCAGGAGGTGTTCTTCCCCCCGTGGGGCGTGGTGGTGTGCATCTCCCTGGTGGTGATGGCCATCATGCCGGTGCCCGTGGTCTTCGCCCTGCGCTACTTCAACATCATCGACGACAGCAGCGGGGGCATCTCCACCGTCGCCTACAAGAAGGGCCGCATCATCAAGGAGACGGCGCGGCCGGGCGAGGAGGACGACGACGCCAGCCTGATCCAGGGGAAGTCCCCCAGCGAGGCGCCATCGCCGATGCCCGGAAACAGCATCTACCGCAAGCAGAGCGGCGGAGGGACCGGAGGAAACGAGGCGGACACCGCGCCCAACGGCCGCTACGGTATTGGTTACTTGATGGCCGACATGCCGGACATGCCCGAGTCGGACTTATAGACTGACTCTAGAGACCCCCGCCCTCTCTCTCCACCCTCTGCGTGCGTTTAGTTGGCCGTATCATAAATGTATATTTCGCTTGTAATGTATATTATTTGTAGATATCGTAGCCCCTCTTATTTGTCGTCTCTGAACCTTATATGACTGACTGTGCACCTTTTTAAAAATTCATAAAAAGGTTTGGGAATAAGGTCACATTCCAAACCGCCCCATACACCCGACCCATACCAGCGTTCACTCTGCGTGGTCACGTGGAGAGTCGGCCATATTAAGTGCATTTACCAACCGATGGGTTCAAATAGTTCCTTATATTTTCTAGTAAACTGTAAATGAAGACATTTTATATTGTCATATAGATGTTAACAACTTCATGGTTGGTAAGCAGTGTTGGGTGTAACGCGTTACAAAAGTGCAGAGAAAAATGGTGCAGCCTGGTGTTTACGTGAGGGATGATGTGCAGCGAGGCGGTCGGCAGTTGTTATGCTGCTATACCACATCGTCCTTCACTGGATGTATAATGAGCTGCACTAAACTACATTTTAGCATTTACAGTAAAATACCTAGCCATTCTTTTGCGGTTATTTTGGTGAAAGTAACTCAAAAGTAATATAAAAGTAGTGTAACTCATTACGTTTGAGAGACAGTACAGGGCTCAACGCTAACTTTTAAAAGTGGTTGCCAGGCTGGCAACCAGGCATCAGCTTTTGGTTGCCAAAACTGAAAATACGGTTGCCATTTCTAGTCACCTTATATTTTAAACAATTAAGATACTATACAGTTATACATCAACTTAATAATGAAAATGTGACACAAAAGAATGTTTAAATGCTTTACAATAAGTATTTAACAAACTTATTTGAAACCTAAGTGGTAGGAAACTTGTCCACCCTCAATTGCTGGTATACTAAATACCAGTAGTGCAGCTGTTGTTCTTCACATATCCTTCAAAAAGGAATTGAGCAAGTCACTAGTTTCTTGGTCATCCATTGTCTCACTTTCAAATGTGGGTTTTCCTGACCTTGTGCTGACCCCCACCAGAGATCCACGGGCCCTTCAGCATTGCAGTCTCGGATTGGCCAGACTAATGCATTTCTAATGTTAAATAAATTAAAACCATTCACAGTTAAGAATTAGATATGAATTATTAATGCTGTAAATTACCTGTAATATGTCTAACTATATTTAAAATGCGATAATTAAATATCACTCTTAATACAACAAATAATTAACATGTATCTCTTTTGGGGTGCACATTTGGCTGTTTGCTGCCCTTATTTCTTCATGTTAAAAAGTGGTTGCCACTGATGGCAACCAAAGGCCAATAAGTGGTTGACATTTTTTCGGAATGGTTGCCAATGGCAACCTGGCAACCGTTACTGTCGAGCCCTGCAGTAATATTGTAATGTAACTTATTACTTAAAAAAGACAGTAATATGTACTGTATTACATGTTGGAAGTAACTTGCCCAACACTGTTGGTAAGTACAGTATGCCTGTGTCTAGTCTAGAAGACAGGGTGAGCCAGACCCATGAAGGGGCTCTTCTTTTAAACAGCTTCCTAATTAATAAACCAACTATCACAATATCAAATGAAAAATGATTTTATGGATTTAAAAAAGTGTTATATCTTCCGCTAAGATAAAATGGTCTGTTCCAATGCGTAACAACGACTGGAACTGAGGCGCGATTATGGGAAGTTACGTGATTTCCTTCTTTAGTCAGAAAGAGGTGAGCTTGTCGCTGTATTTGCACACCTCCACCTCAAAAGAAGGAGCCATATTCAGCTGTGAGTGTGACTACAGACGGAGTTAACTCTTTCACGGAGGGGGAGTGTGTAGGGGTCGGTTTGGAATAGGGCCTAAATGTCATCCTTGTCTAACCCATTCGGCTGCGTCCCAAACTCATCTCTGGCTCCTGCTCTCTCTACATGTGCTCCCTCCTCTTGCAGAAGGGCAGTAAAAGTGTAAGCAATAAGGTGGGGGCTCCACCAGGCCTACTTGAAAACAAGAGGTCATGTTGGGACTGCACCGGTGTCTGTGGGCAGTGTACATCTATCCTGCTTCATGTCCTACTGTATAAAAAGTGGTTGTGTATATTAGGATCCATAACTGATAGCCAACCAGTCGTGAGTTTAGTAGCAGTTTAACGATGCAAGATGTTTCCGGTGGGGTCATCTCAGTTCAAACAGCGAGGGGACGGTCTCTGAAAACCACTGAGACAGAAGTGTGCCTAAGTAGTTTATATTTGTTTATAGAATACATGATGGCTGTTGTATATTTAAGGTATTCTGTAAATATAATATAAATATTATAAATATATTTATCTTGATAGTTTGGATATCAACACCGTGTTTTTAAGGTTCAGAAGTACTTCAAATCCTTAACTCTCTCCGTGTCTTTGTTTTTTACTAATGTGCTCTCCATGTTTGTGAGGATCGAGTCCTCCATGTAAATAATTTTTCCATGAAATGGCTTCAAATGCAATGTCTTTTTTTCCCCGTCAAAATTAAAGATCAAATATGGTCCATAAAATGATACTTATGTGACGTCTGTTTTTTGTCTTTGAATGGCAGTTTTTCCCAGAAATTCAAGGTTTCCAAATCAAAACTTTCTAAATAAATCTTAATGTAAAAAGCTTATAAATACCATAAAATCAGACATATAATATCCAACCACAGTTACTACATACTTAATGTAAGAACATACCAAAAGAAGTATTATAATATCAGAAATATGAAATCTGCAAAACCAACTAAAAATGTAGTTTAAAGGTCCCATGTCATGCTTTTCCGGTTATTACCCGTCCCCTTGTGTGTTATGAAGGTTTGTCTGCATGTAAACGGTCTGCAGTCACAAACCCTCAAAGTACACCCTGTAGCGAATAAAACTCTAACACAGAAAAGACCTGTCTATGCTGCTCCAGAACGCCTCGCTGGAGATTTCTCTGACGTGTGAACACCCAAATCAACAACAAATGAATGGACCAATCCGCAGAGCACCTCACACACACCAGGATCCCCTGGCTAACTAACAGGGAGTGACTTGCATAGAGCTCCCTGAACGTTGGTAATAGACGAGTTGGGATGGTGGAGAAATGCTCTCCGCAGACCCATTCTCACAGCGCTATAAACCTTTTTCTTACTCAATATCAAGCCACACTTATTGTTTTTACTTCGGCTGTGAGTGTTTGTGTGCTCAGGATGAGTTTCGCTTGTTCTCGCTGTATCGCCGACCCGGAAACCTGTCCTCGCAACGTCCCGACCAATCAGAGCACACTGGGCTCACAGGAGCTCCAACAAGCCGTTTAGGACAGAGTGAATACACATTTAAATCTATTCTACATTCTCAACAATGGAATTTCGATCAGTAGAAATGGCCATGACATGGGACCTTTAAGTATTTTTACTTTTATAAAAAGAGGAATAACCAATACAATGTTTACACACACTCACGTCCTTCTTGCTCTGAAAACAAAAACAGCACAATCACAGTAAATAAAAGAGCATTTACTTATTGTTGACTTCACAAAATGTAACTCAAATCACATAAAAGCTTTGTAGAAAGTCGGCAGCATATGAGAAGTGGTAAACACACACGTGCAAATAAATAATCAAATATACACTTTTTAAAGGCTATTTTCTTTGGCTTTCTTTCCACTTTCTTTCTAGTTTTTTTTAAAATCATTCAACAGGTAAACAAACACTTCTTCTCAGGAGCTTCCTGAACATCTGCGCTGCTGATAACAACGCAACCCGACCATCTGTGTCCCTTTTGGAAAAATGTCTCTTTACAAATTACAAAAAGATAGTCTTCGTCTGGTGAAACACGGCAAATAAGTGCATCTTCAAAAACAACAAATATTGATGACTTGAATCACTTTTCTTTCAGAGTGGTTCATTGCTTTGTGCTCTCCTTCATTAGCTCTGGGTCAGTGCACTTGATAGTCAGTATGGCTGTCAGAAACTGAGGTAAACATCTTTCTAATGTGAGCTGCTCACACATCCATCCACTGCAGAGAGGATCCCTTTCCACGAAGGATCTGAAAAAAATCATTGCTATAATTATTACCACCATCACGCTTACAACAACTACTAGAAGGGTGTTCAAAGTATGTTTTCCTTCATGATATCACACTAGAGCAGTGCTTCTCAAAGTGTGGTCCGCGGACCACTGGTGGTCCGTGAGCGCCCCCTAGTGGTCCGTGAGTATATTGGTAACATTTCACATTTGAAAGAAATACATTTATTTAAGTTTTTCGCACTCTCGCGGGAATATCTCCGCAATGGAACGAGCTTAAGTTTCACTTTCGATTGCATGAAATAGCCCAGATAAACACCTTCATCACACATGTTGCCACTTGTGTGTACCATTTTCAGGCCATTTGTAAAAAATGATGTGTTTTTGGATATTTGTGGAGTTAGGTGGTCCGCGAGTGTTTTTTTATTGGTTAGGTGGTCCTTGGTATGAAAAAGTTTGAGAAACACTGCACTAGATAATCATATGTAGATAAATGTATGCAATATAACAATACATTAAAAACAATAGGAAACACATTCAAATTATAAAATGACAGAATGAATTAAATACATACTGTATCCTGTGGGCTCAGTATTACATTTTGTCTTATCTTATTCTTTCTTAAACATATATTAAAAAATTCAAAATGAAATGGCAATTGGTGGATATGTTTGCAAAGTATAATTAAAACAACTACATAATGGAAATAAATACATACATTCAAACCTGTAGTCATCATTGAGCTCATATCCACATATATTTACAGTTTGTATTCAACTGTACAATATATGTACATTTTCTTTTCCTGCCAACTTACTTATAATAATACACACTTTACTTCATATCGCTTGTAGCACCAGGTGGAAAATGTATACAATACATTCAAGCTGTGGGCTCAGTCATGATGGAGCTTTTATCTCCACATATGTATATATTATTACAGTATTTGTATTACTGCAAAGCATCTAAGTGTATTTCTTTTTCTGGCAACTTACTTATAGCATTACAAACTTTACTGAATCTCACTATGTAGCAAAAGCATGCTAAATTAATTTAAAGTAATAAAATAGGAATGAAATAGATACCAGCGTGTGGGTCAGTCACCGGGTAGCTGCTCTCTCATTTTGGCGGCGATCTGCTCTCGTTTCTCGCAGTGTTTCGTCAGGTCTTTGACCTCCATCGGCAGCGTGCTGTTCCACACCATCAGCACCGACTCCTCGTCTGTGAGACACACACACACACATTAGAGAAACGACTGACGACTGTTTTCAGCAGCGTGTGGCACAAACAATAACCACCGTCACACTCACCGAACTGATTCGTGTCCTGTGGGAGTCTTCTGCCCAGAACCAGCACCACGTTCTTCCAGTTTAGGGTTTCTGTTCAGGAGGAAATGATCTTTAGTCACTCTTGAAAGACACAGACGCTTGACTGGATGCAGCATTCAAACAAGAAAAAAAAGCACGACCAAAAAGGGGGAATGCAAAACATGTTGAATATAATAAACAGTCAAGCTGTGAGCAGCAGGCTGGCTCACCCAACAACCCAGACAGACTCACTGTGATGGAAAACAGTTTGCAGTGTTTGATGTTTTCTATAATCATTCAGCTTCCTTACCTTTCTGTTGTTTTTATTTCAAGTGTTTTTGCTTTGGATTTATGTAACTCTTTATTTATTCTTGGCCTAAATACTGTTCTGTTTATTTATAAACCCAGTAGAAAGTATAAAATAGACAAAGTTCATCTTGAAGCTGTGGAAAACATGCAAATAAAATGACTGAGTATGTGCAGGATGTATTCTGAGGCGCCCGAGATTATCCCCATCTCACATAAGACATTAACATTTATGCTAATTAGGCCAATTCGTGTTAGGGTGGTATTGAATTAGCTAAATCCCTCCAAATTAACATGTTATATAACTACTTTCACTGTGGACTCCTAACCCGTAGAGCAGTGCTTCTCAAAGTGTGGTCCGCGGACCACTGGTGGTCCGTGAGTATATTGGTAACATTTCACATTTGAAATAAATAAATACATTTAAGTTTTCCGCACTCTCGCGGGAATATCTCCGCAATGGAGCGAGTTTAAGTTTAACTTTCGATTGCATGATATAGCCCAGCGCAACACCTTCGTCACACTTAATTAATTTTACCCTGTGAACCCAAAGGGTTTTTGAGTACCTTAAAAGCACTTAGATAGATCAAATGTATTATAATTATTTATTTATTTGAATTATTATTATCATTTGTTGTAGTAAAAGTAGTAGTAGTAGTAATATTAGTAGTTGTTGTAGTAGTAGTTCAAGTAGTAGTTGTAGTAGAAGTATGTAAGTATGAGTTGTCTGTCAATAAACATCCTCCAGTTTGTGATCTCCTCACACAGACATCATGATACAAAATGTGCAACAGTGTCCATGCATGCTGTCATCACATGGAAATATTACTAAAAGCATGCATAATGAAATATATATATAAACTTAACACAAAAAGTAAGGACATTTGTGTGTGGTAGAGGATTTCCTTGTTGTAACAATTCTTCTATGTGTGTATGTGGGTTGCCAAGAAGCATTGTTTCAACAAAGAAAGAATCTACCAAACACAAATGTCCTTACTTTGGTGTTAAGTTTATAAATGAGAGTTGTCCCCACCTATGAGAGCGGAGCTGATGCAGCGGATGGAGGCGCAGCAGGGCCCCACCACCTGCAGAGGCTGGTGTTTGCAGAGCTCCAGCAGCAGCAGGTGCCCCCCCCGGGTGCCGATCCACAGGGTCGCAGCGCTCTGCACCAGCAGGGCCTTCACCTGGGCCCAGGGGGGGGCCACGTCAGGGGGGGGGTCCACCTCGCTGGCCTTCTTACAGCCGGAGTCATCTCTACAGGGAGGGGGGTGGGGGGGGACAACACAGCTGCAGTCACACACACACAAGACCTCCAGACGACAGTTTCATCCCACAGGACATCAAACTGTAAATCCTGAGCTCTGTGAAGTGTCACCACTCACAAGCTGTATGTTTATAACACACTGTTCATTTCTACATCTCAATTCAATTCAAAGGTGTTATTGTCATATGCACAAAGCTACAGTGTAGAAATGGCAATGAAATTCTTCTGACCTGAGCTCCTCCAACAATGCAACATAATAATATAAAAATACAAAATAAAAAGTAGTACAAAAAGTCCATATACATGTAAATAGAATATGATCTGTACAAGAACAGAATGTGAAATAAATGTAAATTAAGACAAAATTAAATACGGGTTATTGCGTGGATAACTATTTATATAAATAAGTATATTGCAAACACATCTGTTAACAGTCCTCATAACCACATGTTTATATATTAATACAGTATTTAGTCTTGTGTCTTTACTGTCTTGTTGTTGAGTTCTATGTGATTTAAAGACCATGAGCATTTTAAATCAGAGAAAGTGTTTCTGGATTATCCAAAAATCACCATTTTGTTTTCTGTGTATAACATGTTTGTTATAATGATATATTTAATTGTATTTATTTTTATTTGACCTC